CTTACAATTTCACATAAAAATATATAAAGAAAGTGGCCATCGAGGGGACTACCACGAAATTAGCCTTTTTGTTAACAGACATTTGGGAAGCTAGAGATAAAGAGAGGGTTGCCTGTTCCAGCCCCAACTGACAAACGATCCAAGTTTTGTTGCTCATCAGTCCTCCAGCCACGTGCATACATGGCAGCCTTTCAAAGAAGTGACCAGACAAAAGCAAAGCAAGCACCTGGTGATTAACTGGAATGACTCCTGAGGCTTCTCGTCTGAAAACAAACTGAAGTTTAGGGAAGAGGATGGGAAGGAAGAAAGTAATAACTGCAGAATTAGGCCCTTAGCATATTCAAAGTGTTCAGCCACAGTGACGGAGTCTAGGAGTTCTCCCAACGGCTCACAAGTGCATCTCTTTCTCTCAATGCTTACCTTGATTTTTTCGCTGTCTTTTTTCACTTGCTTCGCATTTTCAACAATGAAGACGTTGCTTTTATTGACTTCGTTGTCAGCTCTGTGTCTCAGCCAGTCCTCATAGCCCTAGAAACACCAACATACAGGGAATGCAATCAACACCAGGTAGTGAAGTAAATAAATTAATACAGTTGCAAGAGACAGATTTAAAAAGGGGAGTAAGTTAAACATTGTCATCGCAGTGCCTTCATGCATGCCAGAACCTCAGCTGGAATAGCTCCATCTGAATCCATTTAATTAAAAAAAACCAAAACCTTCAGATGTGCATTTGACAGATTTGGAACAGACTAAAATAACATACACAAAAGCAATCTATAGGCACTGCATGCAAGAGCATCTGTCTATTACTCTCAAGATTGGTAAGAGTACGCTGATAACGCAAATAATATGCTTAGTGCCCTGTAATTCCTACTTTTCCAGTCCAACACAAGACAAGGGTTTCTCGCTCTTCAGTCTCATCCAAAGTGCAAAAGCCAGATTTGAAAGAGATGGATTTTACTCTAGTACGCCTTCCCGCCGCTCAACTGAATGCAATTCTAAAAGGGTTAATTTTTTAAAATATTATTCAGTCAGAGAAGTCCCTAAGTTTTCAGGACCAGATATTGGTTGGATAGAAACTACTCCTGTTTTTTCACTGATGTCAGGTCAAACAGGTTGCACCTCCATAAACTAGGACTCTGGTCTGTCAACATCATTGTCCAGCAGGACCACGGATGTTTCAGGATCAGAGAGTCCCAGCATTCTGTGGGAGGTGGGGGTGGTAGGCCAACACAATGGGGGAGAGCTTGAGCATGGCCCGATGCAGGTGGGGAGGCAGTCTGATGCCGGGAGGGGAGGCGGGAAGCCCAGCACCCTTCTCAACTGGGCTGGGGGAGGGGGGGTACAAAGTGGACCAGGAGCCATAGGAGGTGTAGCCAACAGCAGGGGGGCCAGAAATGACCTCCCCTGGTCCAGCAAAATCCCTCATCTGGGACCAGTCAGGCCCTGAGGGTCCCAGACGAGGGAGGTCCAACCTGTACAAACTGAATTTACACCAGGATTCTTCAACCTCCAAATCAGGCCCAAAGTGCATTTTTGAAAGAAAAGAAATAAATTATAACAGTGCAGTGTATGTAGAGATAGTCATCAACAACAAGAACTCACAGCATTAAAAATACACATACACACACAAAATTGAACTTAGGTTTGGCATAGTATCCAAAATTCCTTTTTTATTTCTAATTTTAAGTTAAACAGATTTCATATTGATCGTGTCCCTCTAACTTTGGACCTCTATTATTACAAATATATGTAGCATCAAGTATATATGTCATTAGATGCCAAATTTCTCATTTATTCCACCATGGACACACATCAAAATGCAAAGCAAACACACACGTGCACACTACTGCAGCAATGTGTTTCTCACTTCCATGAACTGAAAATGTTACCTGTTTGATAGCTGTAACCGTGATCACAAAGAAAAGTGGAAGTCCACTGGTTATTGGGCTGGTTGGTGTATCTACTATGACCTACAGAGGGAAAAAAATAAACAGGCGCAATTTTTTTGAGTGAGTTGAATATCAAATGCTAGCACTAAAGGTTGGGTCATCCAACACACTCTATATTAAGTATCACAAGCCTCAAATATGAGCATGTTCGGGAGAACTGGGCACATGGAGTGTATGAGGGACATTTACACGAGGACCTTTTAAGGTATACAAATCCCACTGAAAGACAATGGAAAGTCCCCTAATGGACTATGAAGTTTTGATCCAAAGCAACTGAGGCAGCTAAATGAGTTTCTGTATCAAACAGGGCTTAGAGAACACCGTATGAAGGCTTCTCATTCACACACCTCTGTGGTGTGCAATATAAATAAGGGGCATTATGGGTTCAAACCAGAATTAGTTTGCAAGCCCCTGACTGCCCACACACCATATAATCTGCACCAAATATGGTCAATCTGGCCCTACAGACTGAACAGCATGGCCATCATTGGATACCATTTTTAACAACCATGTCATGGACCATTCTCTGGTCTACTAAATATCTGAGAAAGTTTGTGCGTCCATCCGTTTCTTCACCTATGAGTCTATTATTCAAGACCTCCTCCTAAACGGTAAAAGCTAGGGCCACCAATTTTGCTAGGCAGCTTCCTCTTATCATAACTTAAAGCAAGGTCAGGGCTGGATTGTGCCAGGACAATGGAATGTGCCTGGAATTTGACTGTTTCTCATAAAATGGAAAGGGAGGGGTCTGGTAGGAGGGACAGTTATACTGTGGAATGGCCAAAAGGGAGCAGAAAAGGGCCAGAGATAGGGGGCCAGGACAGCTATCACCCCATGGGGCCAGCAGGGGGTAGGGGTGAAGAAAGAGACAGTTATTTACTATACATTTCAGGGAGTTTGTATTTTTGTCTGTGTGTCTGTCTGTCCCCACACAGTGGGACATGCACCTCTCCCCAAGCTGTGCCTGCTGCATCAGCCATGGACAGATGCTTCTCACCTGGCCCTAAGCTGCTACAGTGAGAGAGGACTGGGGTAGACCTCTCTGCCCCGAGCAGCCTACATACTGAACCTCTCCTCTCCAGCCACACCCCAGATCTATGATTTAAATGAAGAAAAACAAAACGTATTTGAGTTAAGGATCTGAGGAATGCTGGGCAAATCTTCTAGTATCATAATCCAAACCCAAACCAGAATGGTCACATTGAGAGAAAGTGCACAGAGGATCCACTGGCTGGCTTTTTTAGCAATAGAGGAAGGAAGGAGGAGGAGGTTCAGGAATGCAGTGGCAAAGTGGCAAGTCAAAATGCCCTCAGTGAGGGAGCAGGAAAAAATGTAACCAGATTTCTTGCACCACTGTCCAACTCACAGCTCCTTTCATTGGCGAGGATGGGGAGCCAGAAGCAGTGGTGAAGCCCCAAGGACGGCTGGTAGGCCACATTAATTCAAACAGAGCTATCGTGGAGACTTGGGCACTTTCAGAGATGGCCACACTCAACAACGTGCAAGCAGTGAACACGTGAGCTCGGACTAGGCATCGGCACGCACACATGGTGAGTTCTACATCTCAGATCTTATAGATCTGCCTGGCAAAAGCTGTGCACTAGGGATGTGAACATGTAACTAGTTACCTGGTAAGGGTGATGCTTACCAGGTAACAGTTACCCAGCACCTAGGAGCAGCCTCCTGCCTACAGCCTGCTGCGGATGGAAGGATGCTCCAGCCCCACCAGGCCCACCGTGTCGTGGGCTACAGTGGGAGCTGGCAGCCCCATGTAGGCTGGGAGCCCAGCAGGGCTGGGAGCAGCAGCCCCACATGGTGCTAGGAGGCAGCAGCTCCTTGTGGGGCCAGGAGGCAGCAGCTTTCCTGCGGGGCCAGCAGATGGGCTGGTGCTCCTCTGTGCTGGAGAGGTCCCCCACCCAGGGTCCCGCTTAAATGGGTTAACCAGTCAAACCTAACGTTTAACCAGTTAACTGATTAAACAGGATTTTACATCCTGCTGTGCACACGCTAGCTCACGTGACTAGCTTGAATCCAGCCAGCACAGGTAAAAATCATAGCAAAGATAGCACATGTGAGATAGCATAGCTAGTGAGCCGAGCGTGTGCCCAGGGTCTGTGACCACATGTGCTCAAGCCAATGCTGTTCTGTCTTCACCTCTACTGTTACCGGCACTAGCTGGATTCAAGTAGCTCTGGTAGGTGAGCCTGAGAACAGCTTTTACTGCACAGACATATCCTAAAGGACCATGCGTATGTAATAGGGCACCTCCACCCCCATTGCAGAGAGTTAACTGTCAAGGTCTGTCTGGCACCAGACAGAATGAGACTTGTTTTTAGTAAAACGGAGGCCACGTTGAGACAAAGGTTTGAACACAAAACTATATGCCGTGCCTTCTGCTGTTCCCCAGAGCCAGCTGCCAAGATATGTACCTGAGAGCAGGGCCAGATTAAGGCATGGGCGAGCTGGACAGCTGCCCAGAGCGCCAACTTATGGGGGGGGCACCTGATGGCAGCTGTAAGGAGCGCTGTGGGCTCTTTCAAGTTGCCATCAGGCGCCAAGTGCCCGGCTCCTGGATCGGGGGCCTCATTAACCCCCACAGCGCCGGCCAGCAGCGCCCTTTCCCCCGCGGCCACGGGGCCCTGCACGGCCAGGCTCAACCCACCCCGGGCTGCACGCCAGCGGCGGTAGCTGGGCTGGGCCGACCTGGGCATGTGCGTCCTACCGCCGCCAGCTCCGCACGCCCTCCTCCACGCGCCGGGCGGGGGCAGAGCCGCGCATGCGCTCTCTCCCACACGCTGGCGCGGGGCTGTGCATACGCCCTCCCCCACTGCTGGGCCAGGGCTGCGCATGCCCCCTCCCACAACCCGAGGTGCAATTAACCTGTCTGCCCAGGGCGCCGGAATGGCTCGGTACGCCCCTGACTGAGAGCATTCTGGTTTTATATTTGCCCATACAGGCAGTCCCCAACTTAAGAATGGGTTACATTCCAAATGGTTGGTTGTAACTCGATTTGGTCGTAAGTTGGAAATACCCTTAAACGTGCTGCCCGCGCTGTTCGAAAAACTTGACGTACATGGTTCTCAACTCGAAAATATTATAATGGGGTTAATGGGAGGTTGGTCATAAGTACGGATGGTCGTAAGTAGCTGGGGAGTGGCTATATAAACACTGCATATGGGACAGTGCAAGACAATATAATTCTGAGAGAGGATGTGAGCACAGGAAAGGTCTGGGTCATTCCTCTGAAAAGGGGAATCCAACTCATTGTATGGGGCACTGGACTAGAAGACCTACTGAGGTCCCTTCTAATCCTACATTTCCGTGCTTCTAGAGAGAACATTAAGAAAAGTGAAAGCGCTAACCAACTTAATCCCTCAATAGATGCCCTTATTCGAGACTACTGTGTGTAACATATTTAAGACTTCATTTACTTAATGGCTGGGCTGAAATTTTGCATGTTTGGTTTTAACCAGCCAGTTAATTTTTTTGAATTCCAATATTCAGCTATAAAAAGAAAAAATACATTTCCAATTTAAAAGAAAAAATTCTTTCTTTGGCAAACATTTGGAGAACTGCCCTGATTTTTCAGCTTATGTAACAGAAAATGAACACTCGCATTTACCAATGTTTTTCCTAATCCCAAGGTCAATGTCCACTTTACACAGAAACCAGAGTGAGAAAAGTATATGTATGTAATTTAAAACATAAAATCTCTTTAAAAAAAAATCACACACTCCTGAATATATATGCACACACTCATTAACTCATCTGAATATTCAAAAATCCCAAATTATAGATTGCTCACCTCTTCTGGCTTTCTTGAAATCTACTCATACTATAATATTACCAGGCTGCTAATTATATGGAGAAATATGTTAGAAGGGAGAAGTAACAGAGTACCAAAAATGTTAAAAAAAAAAGTTTCAACCCTTCAGACATTAATATACGTTTTACTCACACAAGGTATGTCTATCTACAGAGTAGCTGAAGGTGTAATTTGCAGCTCAAGCTAAGACACCCACGGTAGCACTGACTGAAGTAGGGTGCTAAAACCGAAGTTTAACTACCAGGGTACAAGTGATGGGAGGGGCTAGCTGTCCTGAGTATGGATTTGAGCAGCTAGCCCCTTCCACCATGGCAGCTACATCTCTCATGGTGCCATACTAGCTTGATCAGAGCTACCACAAATACGACTCCTTGGGCAGGTAATCACACCTTCCGACTCCAATGTAGACACAGGGATCTTACACTGTAACAACAGTCATCACAGTATGGTCTGAGATGGCCCCGGAAATGGTATTATGCATGCATCTGCACAAGACATTACATAGCTACAGGCTGAACTTCCATTAACCAGGACTCCCTGGTCCAGCCAGACGACAGACATCACAGGACCACTGAGTGGAAGGCTGGCGGCTCGGCTCCTTGCAGCTGGGCTGCTACGTACAACCCAGGGGAACTTCCCACCACGTCCAGGAGCCCAGCACGTCCTGGGAGCGCTGCAGCAGGGCTCCCAGGAACTTGCTGTGCAGGAAGCTGGACTGCCTGGCTTAACAGGGAAAGGCGGGAGAAGGGGACGGAAGGGCAGTGGGACTGGCAGGAGAGGAAGGTGTCCAGGAGGCTGGTCCAGGGCTGGGGGGCCGGTAGCAGGGGGCCAGATATGACCTCCCCTGGTCCAGCGAAATCCCTTATCTGAGACTGGTCAGATCCCAAGGGTGCCGGACCAGGGAGGCCCAACTTGTGCTAATAAAAAGTTTTTACAAGTACCAATAAAGAGCCACTTTTGAGTCTCAATCCTTTATGAAGCTGTGTTTCAAACTCTGACCAATCTATTTAAACAACAGTCACTTCTGCATCATTTCTACTGAAAAGTGCCCTTACCTGCACGAGGAAAATGATCAGGAAATAAAAGTTGGCAATTCTTCTGAACTGCTCAAAAAGATTCTTCGGGAGAAAATTCCAAACCGTGTACTGTGGGGAGAAAGAGAACCGAGAGATAAGCTGCACAAATAATATCAGCGCACAATTTTGCACAATGTCAACAGTACCAAAGATTAAGAATGGTCACGAGGCTGCATGTATCCAGAGTTAAAGAAAGGGCATTTATGTTTAGAAGTTTCCTAAGAAATAAAATGTCATTAAAAAAAAAAAGTCAAGTAGTTATATTGGACAGATGTATCCCTGGTATCATTTCAGTGACCTTGTGCCCAGGATACATTTGGCCTAAAGGTGTTAATTCCCCTATAACTCAACCCCTGCAGAAACCTACAATAGCATTAAGCAACGCTAATGGCATACGATTGGGGTATTTTTAGTGTGTTTAACTTGGTAGTTGAAACAAAATACAGGACTATGTAGCACTTTAAAGACTAACAAGATGGTTTATTAGATGATGAGCTTTCGTGGGCCAGACCCACTTCCTCAGATCAAAAACTTGGTAGTATTAGGGATGTAAAATTTTGATTATTTGGCTAATCGAATAGTCGATGCAATTTGCATTGACTAGTCGATTAGTCGATAAGGGCGCTTCCGCCTTTGAAGTGTAGCAACAGCTGTTCCTACTCTTCAAAAGCAAAAGCGCTGAGGGGAGCATGGGGCCAGTGGGGAACTCAAGCTGGAGATTAGGGAGGGAGGTGCTTATCTGGGGCATCTCCCATGTGTGGGTGGCATGGGGAAGAGGTGGCTCCTAGTGGCCCACGCTCACCTGCGGACACCACCCCTGCAGCTTTAATGGGCAGCAATTATCGGCCAGTGGGAGTGGAAGGAGCGGAGCCTCCAGGTGAAGGCAGCACAGTGACGTGGCTCCAGCTGGGGTGGGGAGGGTGGGGGGGGCGGGTAAGTAGCACATGGATCCATTCTCCCCTCTCTGCTAGGAAGGGTGGGGGCCCAGAACACAGGGGCTTTACAGGCTGAAGCCCCTAAAGCCACTTTCTTAATCTGGCCCTGCTGCCACGGCCACAGGAGACGCACCCCCAGCTCCAGAGGCAAGCTGCCATGGTCAGGGGGAGAGAAGAGCTCCTCCAGCTCTAGGAGGGAGCTGCCGTGGCCCCTGAGCTCCTGCTTGAGGCTTATCGTGGCCAAGAAGCTTAGAGGGAATCCTTACGAAAGGCTGAAGAAAACAACTCCTGTTTGCCTCTCAATATTCAGCATAGTGAACACAGGGTGTGGGGCTGAGGGCAGGCTGCTGCAAGTAGCACTGAGGCGGATGTTCTAGGCAGCACCACCTCCCAGAGGGGACAGGCTGCTGTGATTCCACCGGTCCGCTGGTCTGTCTAAATTATTCTGGGGCCTACTTTGGCCCCTGCAGAAGTGGGAGGCCACAAAGACGCATTATAACTCCAAGGAGGGGCTGTCTGAGGCCTCCCACTGTACGTTGGTGGGGAAACTTTACATCAAGGTATGTCAAGTCCAGCTACATAATTAAGGTAGCTGGAGTTGTGTGCCTTGATTCAACCTTCCCTTTTAGTGTAGGCCTGGCCTCAGAAGGGGTTTGACTCCTGAGGCACTGCACTTCTCTTTCCACATGCCCGAGCACTGCTAACTGTGCAATGAAGTTGAAAATATCCACCTTCCTTTTCTGCCCCCTTCCCCTGCAGTAAATCCATTTTTTTCTCTACTTTTCACTAGTGGGCCTGTGTACCTTGCAGATGGAAACAGAAACTGTTTATCAAGTCAGCACAGCACTCGCTTTTCCAGTTTTACTGGGACACATGATCAAGAGTCCAAATACCTGTCAAGAGTCTCACTAGGTTAATCGAAGGATGGGGGGATGTCAGAGGGGTGGTTTTCTAATATTAGCTGACACTCCTGCTTTACAAGTGAGGTTATTCCTATTACTGCCATGCTTCACCCAACCACCGTTATAATTCTAGCATGATAACAAGCCCAAGGTGACTCTGTGCTGTGCATTGGACAGTGGGCATCTGAACTTTCACATTTCGTACAATAGCATCAGCGGTATCTGATGGAAAGCAGCCATCATGTATCAAGCAACACTGAAGCAGGCGGAGATTGGGGAAGAGAAGATTATCAATGCTGCAAGTTTGTCAGAGCTGGAAGGCAATGCTGGGCACCAGAGTTCTCTGTAAACTGAGCATGTGGGTGACCGCCCAAGAGAGAGTCAGGTGCCACTCAACGGATTAGCAGGGTGCCCACAGCCAGCAGCATGTGTTTATCGCAGGAGCAGCCCTAGACGAGCTGCCGGCAACTGGCGCCCTAGGCGACCGCCCAGTTCGCCTGTATTGATAGGCCGCCACTGTGTTTATGTTGGTGGTGCACATATGCATATGACTTGGTGCACACAAAATTTATTCCACACGTAGATGGGAAAAAAAGAGAGGGAACTTTGCTGGGCAACATTTAGATGTCGTCCGTCCAGCTGTGCAATTTTGCTCCTGGGCATGAGCATAAGAACTGCACGTCCTGGAATTTAAACTAGTCTCAGTTTCAATCCCTAGCCCATGTGACAGACTACGGTCTAGAGATTTATCCCTCGCTAGTTTGCTGAAGACATGCAATAGTGTTGCATCCTGAAACCCTCCCCCATAGAAGTGGGCCTATTTAAAAAAATGTCTATTCATGTGCTTAAGGGCTGTCAGATACAATTCATTGTAAAAAAAAAATCTAGGGTTACTGGAGCCAGTTAGCTTTGTCCTAAGCAATAAAAAGTTCCAATACTATCGTACAGTGGCCCTCAAACTAAAGCTACCAGGGTATAGTCTCGCTCCATTGACCACAGCAACTAAAAGGGTTCCTCAGTGATGTCCACTTTGAACCTCTCTAGTCTGGCACTTTCTGGCCCAACAACATCCATGGTCCAGCATGATTTTAGTTAGCTGCCTGTCCACTTATCATAGATGTGGCCGAGTTTCCCTTATCCCATAAAGTTTGTTTATAGCCACCAGTCCTGGCTCTCAGAGTTCTGTGCTGTTGTGCAGCTCTAAATTACCCCTAAATGTCTTCTAAGAGCCCGGTAAGCAGTGGAAGTGTTGGTAATGCTGCTAGACAATATTGGCCTCCCATGGTCCAGCAAATTCTCTGGTTCAGCACCGATCAGGTACAGAAAGTGCTGGGCTAGAGAGGTTCAAGCTGTATCTTTAAGTCCTCTTTATGCAGCTGACTTAGCAAGCTTGAAGATATGGCCCCTGATTTTCTGAACTTCAGTAAATGACACACTGATAAGCAATATCACTCCGTTATCCTTCTTTTAACTGCACATTTTAAATTTTGGCGTTCTTCAGAGACATAAATTGGAATATTGTCTGGATTTTAATGTTTCAAAAACAAAAAAAAACAATTACTCCCAACTTGAGACAAAAAAAACAAAATAAACAAATGAGGAAGGTTAGGGGAAAGAATGCAAAAATATCAGTGGGATTCACACCTGTAAATAGCTTTTAATGCTGCATGTCATACATCAAAAGGAAACACCCAAATGATGAACTGTTCTCACTGCTGTTGAAGATTACTTTAAATAATCTTGAGCCTGCATGCTCTTGCTTTTTGCTCTTTAAAAAATCAAAAATAAATATCAATTGCATACATGTTTGTGATTGGAACACTGCCTTGTTACTTTGCTTGTAATTTGGTTTCTCACTTTTTGGGGGGGCTGAGAAAGGGAGAAGGCCACTGATCATTTATTTTGGAAAAAAATAATGACATGAACTTTAAAAGCAAGTTTAAGAAACAACATAGATGATCTTTCTGTGTTCTTTGAAATAAATTACTTCTCTCAGAGTCATACTGACATCATTAATGATGTTTGGGCACAGATAATAAGCACAGAATAAAAGACCCATGATGAAGATATCAGCTTCACTTTAAACACTGGGGGATGGGGAAGGGAGAGAAAGTTGGGGTGGAAGGGAAAGAAGGGAAGGAAAGTCCATTTTACCCAATATACAAAAGGACAAAATTCATAGGGAAACAATTTTTTTTTTTAAATCAGTGAAGTTTAACACAAGCTTAGTATTTTTAAAATAATCCAATTAGTCACTAAAGAAAAAGAAAATATTCCCCAAGAACACAATCCTGCAGATAAAATGCCAAAGTCAAACAGAGTTTTACCTAGATCAGCATGCAGGAACTGGTCCCCAGCACAAAATCAGTTCAAGTGCTGATGCAGATAGCAAAAGGACATAAGTAGCAGGAACATGAATTTTTGGAGCAGAAAAAGAAATATGCCAACTGTAACCTTTAAATCATATTTACTGTATGACTAAAGTTTGTGACTATACACTGGGCAACCCTCAAACCATTGTAGTAACAAGTTAAATATATTCTCACCCAACTAGCTTAACAATAGTTGGGGCCAGTTGTCCGACACTGTATTTCAATTTTCCTAGTCTTTTGAAATAGCTTGATAGATGTCAAGTAAAATAAGATCAACCAGAAAGAATATAAGTGTCGCTGCATTGTGTTCAGAATAAACAAGTGCTATATTTATAGAATACTGCAAGCTTTCCTCTTTATCCAACGGAAAGGCCAACAGTTAAAATACACACTGTATTAAGTTATTTTTGTCCTACTTGAAAAGAAAAAAAAAAATCTAGAAACAGGATTGTTATCTGTCCATTTTTAAATAACCAAACAATTCCCAAACCTAAAACCTCAGAAGCCAAGAACCGCCACAGATATATTACTGTCTTGCATTTACATTTTCACCCTGCAAACAATGGAAACCCAGAAAATGTTGATTCAAGTATTACTTGAAGGGCCTCAAATTTAGTCAATGCAGAGGTAGAACTCACATGTCCACTCACTCGATAGCTATTAATAAGAAAGTGTATATACAAACCACTGGTTTGGTACAAAATGAGCTTCCAAGCTACATTCAGATTGCATCAGGCAGATCATAAATTAGACTCAAAAGGACATATTATAATATGCCCATGTGTTATTAACAAATGTGACCATATTTGATTCTAACACCATTTGCAAATCTCTCATGAACCCCAGAGAAGCATTTTGTGCAAAGTTTCCAGAGTAGACTGAAACATAACATTTCATCTCCAACCTCTGAATACAGGGATTTGGAGAGAAAAGTCTTTCTAACACAAAGATTTTAGACTATTAGATTAACAGTCTTGTTTATTACAGCTCCTATCGCACAGCAAAGGGAGAGCTAAACACTGGAAACATTTCTTTGTGCGAAGAGGATTTTAACTACTCAAGTACAGATTTCTGAGTTTTTAAATTTCAGGAAGCCATGAGCGAGGATGAAATAGAATAAGGCTGAGGAACATAAAGAGAAGAAATGTCCAAGCTTTCCAGTTGATTAAACACCAGAGTTTATGGATTAACAAAACCAACTTACCTTGGATGAGACAATTCTGTTATCACAGAATTTCTGTTCCACGTAAGCATCTGTTTCTGAAACAGGGCGGTGGCCAACAAACACGGTGCGGGTACCCACTCGTTTCTCCTCCCCAGCACACTACCAGAAACAACATGGAAAAGCAAGTTAAGGCCCAGGCTCGCTAGTTCACATACTTCCACACGTGTCCAGATAAAGAGTTCCACAATCTTCTCACTGGGATGGTTCCCTCAAAAACTTTCTAAACTTCCATTCTCCAGGGCTAGCCTGTTAGGGTACGTCTAAACTACATGCCTCCGTCGACGGAGGCATGTAGATTAGCCAGATCGGCAGAGGGAAATGAAGCCGCGATTAAAATAATCGCGGCTTCATTTAAATTTAAATGGCTGCCCCGCTCTGCCGATCAGCTGTTTGTCGGCAGATTGGGGCAGTCTGGACGCGACGCGCTGACAAAGAAGCCTTTCTTGATCGGCACAGGTAAACCTGGTTTCACGATCTGGCTAATCTACATGCATCCGTCGACGTAGTTTAGACGTACCCTTAATGTTGAAAGGAATGAATGCAGTGCAGACGTGATTATATTCATGGTCTTATCTTAGGCTATGTCTAGACTACAGAGTATCTGGTATCCCGGGAAAACTCTGCCGCATTCAGGGAATGTGTCTGCTCTTGACATTTTTACAGAAGAGCAGACATACTCTTTCGGAAGCCCTGTCTTCCTTGTTCCACAAGGAAGAAGGGCTCTTCCGAAAGAGGAGGTTTTTCTGAAATTTGGCCCAGTGTAGATGGGCCAAATTTCGGAAAAGCCTCTTCCGACAAAACTACTGGAAAAAGGAGTGCAATTTGCGTACCTTTTTCCGATAGAAAGCGGCAGTCTAGACATAGCTTTACATAAGGGGTCATTATTACCTTTCCAAATACCATAAGACCACATTTATACCTTTGTTGGCCTTTCCTGGTCCATTGTGAAGTTAAATCATCTTTTATTGAACCAACTTCTATTAAAAACAACAAGTAGTCCTGTGGCACTTTAGAGACTAACAAAAAATATACATGGGGCTCTTTCACCAACAGAAGTTGGTCCAATAAAAGATATTACCTCAGCCACCTTGTCTCTATTCTGGAACCAACATGACTACAATAATAACATTACAAATAAGATATGCAAGAAAACAAAGTTTTCTTCTACAGCTGGGCATTTCTATTCATGGCTGCTATCTTTCAAGTGGAAACATTCCAATCTGCTTGAGTTGCCTTAAATTGCTACTAAGAAGAAATCTTTCCACTTTCTGCTTCATGAGGAGGGAAATACACTCGGAGGATTTTGTCAGTCATTGTCCAGGGCTTCCAAATGAGTGCTATTTTGACCTTCTGGTCTATGAACATATTTGCACCAATATTGAAATCTCTTCTGGTCTGTGGCTGAACAATTTCTAATTTCTATTTTCTGTTTCCTTTGTAGGCTTCATGTGTTCTGCCAAAGTATTACTGCATGAATATTTTTTAAAAATTCTTCTTAAGGCTTGTCTATAGAAACACTTAGTTTGCAATAAGATTGGACAGAAATCTACTCGACACACTAAGCACCTGTGTGGACTCTGCAGATGGGCACTAAATGTCCCCCACTGCCTTTCATCTATCCAGGGTAGAAGCATCTGCAGCGAGCCAAAAAGGCAAATGCTAGCTATGTTATTACAGTGTCCACAAATTAGCTGTTTTTCTTCTCATTTAAGCATTCAGGTGCTCAAGAACATTTCAGCGGGGTGGTGAGCACAGGCAGACCCACATAAAAGGGACTCCACCATTACAAAAGGGACGTTTTTGTTAAGGAGATTTTCAGGAAGCAACGCTGATCCTAAATAAAGTCTCAACAGACAAAAAATATGGTCTGCAGTCCTTGGGAGTGGAAACCATTTTGGCAAACAAGGGGAATGACTGCATCCCAGTTCTCATAGTCTCCATATGCTAGCAAACAAGGATGAGAAAGGTTAACTGGCAACTGCCGGGGGGCGGCTCCAGCCCCACAGGGGACCGCAGCAGCCCCTGTCCGCAATGGGCCTGAGTGCCCTACAGGCAGGGCTTGCTCCAGGGTCTGGAACAGCTTCTGTCCATGGAGAGCCTGACCCATTGTGGATAGGGACTGCTCCATGGGGGCTGGGAGTTCCCAACCTGGATCCGGCTTAGTCGATTAACCAGTTATACTTTAGCATACCCAGTTAAACGTTAGGTTAATCAGTTAACCAGACTTTTACTTCTCTGTTGGCAAGGAGGCCAACACCGATCAGCTGGACATGGGAGGGCCAACCCAACAGGTATTAACCTTCCCACTAGTCCCAACATACAAGGGGTTTCTCTTAAAGTCAGAGCGCCTGGTGTTATGTGATTAAAGGGAAGCTGAGAGAAAGGCAAGTTTGATCATGCGGAACCCTAGAGGCTCAAAACCCAGTTCATTTTCAGAATCAATTTTTTTGAAAATGGAGGAGTTCGGAACCAATTGTGATTTTTAAGGCCTGACTCATGCTATTTCAATATTTGGTGTTTCCACACTTCCCTTCACAGTTCTCTCAGTTCCCTCTCTCGTCATCCCACGTGTTTCCTGTCCAGTTGCACTTCTCTCCCTCCAAGCCGTTCCAACTGAAGCAGGTTTTCCTTTACTGCTCTCTGTGCTTATCTCCTCTTGAGCAAGCATGTCCACAGACCGGCCCACCTGAATGTGGAAAGACCATTCTGCTCCCAGTACAAGTGCAGGAAATTTCTACTATAAAGGAGCACAGCTCAGGCAGTCATCTGGAAACCATGGATGCAATAGTGTGTCCGTGTAAACGGTTAACCAATGAGACTCATCAGTTAACTTTCATGGTTATACACAGCCCCCTGGGAAGGGGGCAGGTGGGAGCTGGTGCTTGGGGGGAGTTGGCTTTTAAGCACTGGCTTCCACGGAGCTGCCCGCCTCTGGCAGTAGCACGGGGGAGGAAAGAAGAAAGCAGGCAGCTTAAAAGTTCCAGCTCTTGCCTCCCTTCCTCGCTTAGTGCCGCTGCCTCTGATATAGAGGCAGCAACACAGGGGATAACGTACAGGTGGCTCCACAGGAGCTGGTATGTGCAGGTAGCCAGCTTAAAAGCTGGCTTCTCACATGCACTGCCTCCCAGAGCCGCCTCTCCCTGTCGCCCGTCCACCTTCCTTGCCCCACCCCGCGTAAATGTGTATCCACTGAAAATATCAGCGGGTACACGTTTACCAAAATAAACACATTTTAACATCCCTACTAGAAACACTCCCAAGTTATCCTGGTTTAATGCAGATAATTGTGGGAGTCATGCAATCCCATAGTAGCAGGTTAGAGCCCTACATCAACACTAGGCTCAAAGAAGGTAGACTGTTAAAAAAAAAAAAAGATGGAATGAGATGCCACAAATGAATTATAATCCACTCTCCCACCTCAATAAAAGGCCCACTCCCAGATAGCGTTCCTTGGAAAGAGAACAACAGGAAGGGGGTATTTATAAACATATCAGAGACACAGGTCAAACATGGAAAGAATTTCTGTCCTAATTAAAACAGACCGGTTACATTTTCTCCCTCCTTCCTCCGCTCATGCTCCCACTCTCACATTCTCCAACCAAAAAAAACAAAGAAAACTCTGGTGAAAAATATTTTGATCTGGAAGCACAAATAATACCCCCATAATTACAAATCCCCACACATTTCTGGCAGGCTGACCCAGCGGTTGCAGCAGGTTTAAATTTCAGGTCTGACAGGACGGTGTGATTAAAGAAGCAGGGTTACTGCTCTGTACAAAGTAGCCCTCTGTTCCTTTTATGATGCTTTAGATCTTAAAAACATCGATCAAGAATAAGGACATAAGGACCAATTTCCTATAAGGTGCAGGCCTTTTGGCTCCTAAAATCCAGAGTTAGGCACCTCAACACAAGTGGGTTGAATATCAGAAGTCCTGAGCAACACAAATTCCGATGAAGTCTAATTATTATTATGAATCATTTGCAATATAGTTGTTCTCCAAGTCCCCAGACAGGATTGGGGCCCCTCTGCATAAGAGTTACATAAACCCACAGGAAGACACAAGCTTTTCTCTGAAGTTCTTACAGCAGGGGTGGGCAATACAAAAAACAGTGGCCCACCAAGGTTGGTCCCTGGCAGGCCACGGCCACTATATTTACCTGCCCTCGGCAGGTATCGGGCAATCGCAGCTGTCGTTGCCACAGATTGCTATTTGCGGCCAACAGGAACAATGGAAAGTGTAATAGACCTATAGCTTCCCGCTGCTCCCATTGGCCGTAAATGGTGATCGGTGGCCAACAAGAGCTGCCATCACCTGATACCTGCAGAGAAGCAGGTAAATACAGAAGTGGGAGCCCGCTAGGGATTACCCCTGCAGACCGGATCCAGCCTACGGGCCAGAATTTGCCCATTCCTGTCTTACAGTTTTATTTTCAGATGTCTAATGTGCCTGTGACAGACCCAGCGGGGTCCGCACTGCCCCGGGGGGGGGTGGCCCTCCTGGCCCGGGGAGCGCCGGCCAGTGGCGCGAATGGCCAGAGTAGCCCCGGCCGAGCCGAGACCCGGCGCGGGGGAACGCGCACAGCCCCGCGGCAAGGGGGTCGGGGCCAGATGCAGCTGCGCCGGGTGGGCTGGGCACCCGAGGAGCATTCCGACCGGCCGGGGCCGCGCGGAGGGGGAGGCAGAGCTCCAAACCCTGGCCGGCATGCAACGGGGCGTGCGGACGCCGGGGGTGGGGGGGCGGGGCTGGCCCACACGGCGTCTCTGCCCGGGCCACTTGAAAAGCGGCCGAGCGAGACAGCTAGGGGCGGCTCAGGGAGGAGCCGCTGAACACCCCACAGGAGGATGAGCATCCCGCCCCACTGAAGGGGAAGAAGAGTGGCGCTGGAGCCCCCAGGACACCGGCCGGACGGGGCCAACAGCTCGGGCGTGGTAAGTGTCCCGGGCGGATACCCAGGCGGGGCGGCGGAGCGCGGGGCGTGGAAGAAGCCCGGGGCAGAGTGCTTCTGGCGCCCGTGGGCAGGCGAGTTTTGGGGAGCGTCCCCGCTTGTTGTGGATGGAACACGCTAGGTGTCCCCCACTTAGGGCCCCGGGCTGGGACC